GGTAATGCAGGAGGTTGGTTTGTTTGCGTGTGAGTGCTTGTACGGGCGTTATTAAATGGGGTGTGTCGCCTAATTCTAACGGGTCTTACGGTGACCCTCGCAGCGTATCTAACGTATGGTGGGAGAAATATAGCTAGGCAGAGAGCAAATGCCGAGAGATCCGAACGGTTCCGATGATTGTTGGGTCGCGGCGAATGTTCAGTTTTCACTGACAAATAACACAAAAAAAATTTTTTAACCGAAATAGGGACGGATCACATAAAAGGAATAAAGAGAATACTAATGAGAGGAGAAAAAAAAAACAAATGAACTAACTTACTCGTTGCAGGATAGTTCAGATCGGGTTGACTATGTTCGGTGGTTCTGAGCAGGCGCCCCGTTGAGGGAAGGTGTTGTAAGGGCGTCGGACCCCCTTTTTTTGTAAACGTGTGGGCACCCTGCTGCGGGATGGTGTCGTCAGGGTGATGGGCCCTCTACTTGAGATGCACCACTTGGTCGCGACAAAGTATCAACTGGTTTTACTCTTTGATTCGCGCCCCCGAACTACTCGAAAAACTGTTTCGAGAAACTGAGCTAAACGGAATAACTGCGCAAAACTGCTTGTAAAAACTGTGTGTAATTGTGTCCGGAGCCACCAAAACACGGGTTTTTATACCCTTTCTTTGGGGTAGATCCTTTTGGAAAATCTTAGGTTTTTGGAGTGGGGATCGAATAGGAATTAGTCTTGCGAGAAGATTTTTAATGTGGGGGAGGATGGCGTCATTTTTAGCTAATAGGATTGGGTTTAGATGATTAGGTTACTTAAAATGAGATAGGAAGAAAGGGGCCCTAACGAATAAGGAATAGCGTCGTTTCGGGTCCATATATGATGGGGGTAAGTTTTTGAGGTGGCGTAATCCGGTTGGTGTTAATTAGTATAGGTGGGGTGCATCTCAGTGTCTTAAGATCTGGGTGGGCGTAGTCTTTAGACCATACGATGGAATAATGGGTGGTCTATAGAGGTGCTTGCCCCGATTCCCGGCTTTCGGATTGGATGGTTAAGGATCGGTATATAAGTTCGCAAAGCCTTGGGTCACTGATCTAATAAATTTGACAGTTTACGACTGTCGCGTGCCCTTGGTGTCGCGTGGAGAGTGCGACTAATGCATCTCGGTTTCCCAGACCTACTAAACACGTGCGCCGTATCAGGTGTCGCGCCTTCTCGGCATGCGACTGCGGTCATTCCCCGATCGTTACTCGGTAAACCTATCTATTAGCTAGAGTTCCCGTAGGTGGAATCCAAGAATATGACTAGCTGGTGCCACTTTTTCTTTTTATCTCTAACCGTCTGGAGTCTGTTAAGGACTCCAGCTACCGCGAAGTTTTGACTTTTACGGTTTTTCTGGCGACGATAGGCACGCTGAGCGGCCAAGGTATTTTGAAATATCCATGGCCCTTGCTATTTTTCTTTGTGAGAGAAGATTCGAGCTCCTGATGTCTCATGAGAAAAACAGCTCTGGCGTTATAATATTTCTTAAGAGTTTTTGTTGGTCCCGCGTTTACTAGGTCTGGTATTTAATGAAAAGAAAAGAATCGTGAAGTCTGATCAGGACGTAACAAGAGCAGTACTTCAAAAAATATTTAATCTTCTTCATGTTTACTCTTCTGTAAGCGCCTACGTTAATGCACTGTTACAGGGAAACAATATTATTGAAAATTTTATTTAGGGCGATCTTTGGCGTAAAAAAGTGGAGCTTTATTTTTATGATAAAATTGTCCTTAATTTATTTACTATAATGACTTTGAAGTTAACAATGCATTAGGAACACACACTGGCATTCAAAAGTTAGGTGCTGTGTACTATTCTGTTGCATGTTTTCCACCTGAAGTGAATTCCCTCCTTGAAAATATTGATCTCGCCATGCTATTTCACTCTTCAGATTAAACAAAATTTTATAATTACAGTGTTTTCAATATTTTAATCGATGAACTTAATTACTTACAAACAGAGAGTGTAGAAATTGAACCCAAAAAAGGAGAAAAGCTTAGAATCCATTTTGCCTTAAATCTTCTCTTAGGCAATAATCTTGGATTGAATGGAATTCTTAATTTTGTTGAAAGTTTTAATGCTTATTACTCCTGCAGACTTTGCAAAACTTTTAAAGACCAATGGTAAAAAAAATTTTTTGAAAAGAAAATGAGAGTAGATACTTATAAATCTGATGTATTGAAAAATGTTACCAAAAATGGTATAAAAGAAAAATCAATTTGGGATCAAGTTCTCTATTTTAAAACAAGTCAAAATTTTAGTTCTGATTGGTTGCATGATGGGCCTGAAAGATGGTTTAAACATGTATTACAATGTATATTACATCATTACTTTGTGGAGAAGCCCTACATTATATCAATTGATATCCTAAATGATTGATTAAAAACTTTTGATTATCATTACAATGGTATAATTAACAAACCACCCTTGATTTCTTATGATGATATCAAAAACAAAAAATTGTCAATGTCTGGTAGCGAGTCATCTAATTTTATTCTAATGTTTGCAATGCTTGTAGGAGATTTTATTCCAGAGAATGATAAAGTGTGGCCATTATATTTAAAGATGAGAGGAATTATGGATCTTATTTTAGCTTCAAAATTGCAAAGAGAAACATGCAATCTTTTTCGAGTTCTTCGAGTTAGCGAGTTTCATATGATGTTTGCAGAATTATTCCCAAATGAAAGATTTACTCTAAGATCACACAGTTTTGTTCATTACGGCACTATTTTTCAGTTTTCTGGACCTATTCGCAATTTAAGTACCATTTGTTTCGAAGCATAGCATAAAAATAAGAAAAGAGAGGCTAATGCTACAACATCTAGAAGAAATATTACTCATACTTTATGCATTAAAGAGCAGCTAAATCTTTGCTACAAACTAATGATGCTCAAAGGTCTAGAATCCAATAATTTATGGGGTGATGATAAATTTGTTGAACACGTATCTCTATGTCATGATTATCTATTATTTAAATATACTTTGCCACCTGATTTCAATGATGCTTCTTTAATAATGAAATGGGTCCAAGTTCATGGTCAAACTTACAGAAAGGGAACATGTATTGTAATTCGCATTACAGATCATTATCATGATTCATTACTCATTTTTGGTTTGATAAAATCTATTTTGCAAAATAAAAAGGGTCGAACTTGTTTAATTTGTCACGTTTTATCAACATCAGGTTTTGATACAAATTTGCATGCGTATGTTGTCCAAAAATCTGAACAAATTAAATGTGTAATTGTAAACGATTTGCTTTCTCCTTTCCCGGCCATACTTGTTTCCCTAGGGAAAGATTTTGAACAGCATAACTTGTATCTTACTTTAAGACATGCATTGTAATATTTTTAAAATTTTTGTTTTGTATTCAGCAACTTATTTACGGAATGTATCAAATAAGTTTAATGTATCAATATTTTAAAAATTATTGTTGTATTCAGCAACTTATCTGCGGAATGAATCAAATAAGTTTAATGTATCTGTGGCGGCTCACCGCCACACCGCTGCACTGACGCGGTATAATACACCGCGGCGCCGCTACGCGCCGCAGGCCTTCTACCAGTTACAAGTTTGCGGACCCACCGCCAGGTTGCGCAGGCGGTGAAGAGCCTTCTCGCGATCAAGCTTCGATCGACGAGATATAAAAGAGCTGCTCCGCAGATCTTCCCTCACTCACTCGCTTCAAGGCGAGCTCTCTCCAGGGCCCTTGAACTGAGTCGTACTCTGCCTCGGCAGAATCTAACCAGAGACACATAGTCTCGCAGTTTTTCTCACGCTGCCTCGCAAGGCGCGTAAAAAGAAAACAGAGTCCCAGCATCGGCCGCACATCTCAACCAAGCGGCCCGCGGATACTCCACTTTCGCCGTCACCTCCTCAGTCTCTAGTGTGGAAATTAATCCCACTAGAGTTCTGCGTCCGGTTGACTCGACCACCAAGGGACACGCTCACACAAGGCGACATCCGAATTCGGAGACCTCTCTCTCCTCGGTACACGGAGCAATCCGTAATTCCGAGAGCCGAGACGGTTGCCACCACCAGCACACCAGAGACTCGATCCATCGCAGTACAGACTTCACCGCTCAGAGCTTGCTCAGAGAGCAGTTGTCAGACGGAAGACCACTTCCCGAACGGAGTTCCACCGACGCCGGGAAAGGGGCTGCAACGAGCTAACTCAATTGAACCGTCCTTTTTAGGACCCGTTTAACACACTAAGACGCGGCCGGTAATTTCTTACCGCGCCCGTCAATTTTTCTTTTGATTCTCGGCCTTACACTCTTGCCGAGAAAGCGCCTCTGGCGCACTTAAGCAAATCAAACAAAACTTGTACTTTACTCTACTTCTCTGACGAGGAAAAATAATTATTATTTTTCTAAGAAATTGGTCTCAATATTTCAACCAAGTCGAACACAATCCTTAGGCTATACGCCTATATATACATTTTGATAATTGCATTGAATTTGTTGATGCTCTGCAGTATCCATAGCCAATTGGCATGTGGTTGCCTGATGCTAAACATCTCATGTAAAAAACAATACAGTGATCGGCAAATTTTCGAGTTCTTTTATTACCCCAATCTTCGAAGCCTATGATTTTGTCAGTTTTTTTGTCGT